GAGAAAAAACCGAAAAAAATAGGGTTTACTCCCAATTTTTCCGGGTTTTTTCCGACACATTAAAACCCTAGTTGGTACTGAAAATTGCGAACAGCGACGCGAATGTGACATTCCTGTGCAGTGTTGCCAGGTCTCATGCTTTTGCATGAGATATCAAGTTTTCTCAATAAATCTCATGTTATCATGTTTTATTTAAAAATGTCATGTATTTACACATAGCTTTTTTTATGAAAAAGTATTTTTTTTAACATTTCTATCATAATAAATTTATTTTCAGCAATTGTATGCTTATTAACAAAAGTATTTTGAATATGCCGCAGCGTTAAAAAATTATAAAATTTATGATGGTATTATAATATTTTTACAAGATATATTCGTCAGTTATTTTGAAATCATAAAAATCTTGTTCAATAGAATTTTATACAATAATTAATTACATTTTACCACCTAAAAGTTGCTTTCCAGTACCTAATTTAAGAATTTTCACACCTAGAACAAGGAAAAACTTTACCTATTTAGGTACCTATTTTTATAAATTTGGCAACCTAAAATCTCATCTCTACTCTGGACATACCCTGAAGCAATTAGTAATAAACAAATAAACAGTCTACCTACATTTATTTATTACATTTATGTATATACATATATATATATATATATATATATATATATATATATATATATATATATATATTAGGGTGGTCCTTATTTAGGGTGTGTTCGAATTTTTCTTCACGATAGTCTTAAATAGGTTCCATATATATAAAAAAAATAATGTGCCAAATTGCAGCTCTTAATTTTAAAATTAAACCGGCCCCCCCGACAGCCTAAGTTTTAAATGGAAATAACATGGGAAAAGTTCTGTTATTACTTTGGATTTTTTTAAGTCATGAACTAATGAAGGGATTATATAGAAGGATAAATATTCTTGTAAGAAATTTAACGCTCTACAAAAAAGGTTTCTTATGATTTTTAGCTAACTTAACTGGTTCAAAAGTTATTCGAGGTCAAAATGGAAGTTCTAGTCAATTATATGTTTTTTTTCCATTTCCAACGTGGTTTAATGATTCAAAAATGAAAAAAGGGTTATAATTTATATTTTAGATGGTTCTATTTTTTAGAAAACTTTCAGGGTAATCGTGACCCTAAAAAGTCACACCAATTGTTTTTTTATTTTTGCACTGTCGTAACTTTTAAGGATTTTTTAAATTTTGGGATATGCAAGATATTTTGGACATTGTTAAAAGATTTTGATTTTAATTGGTAAAAATTTTTATAAACTCTAGTTTTAAATTCAAACTTCTTAATAAAAACATTGCTGTGGCTCCCGTCCCGAGGCGGGACTTAAGTTTAGTCCCGAGTGACGTCATAATTTTAAGATTTGTTATGTTACGATAAAACTAAAACAAACCAATCAAACCAACCCAACACTTTTAACAAAGGAACAACAAATTTATAAAAGTAAAAAATTACAAAAAGTTCGACAACTTCTAGTAGTATCGAACCCGGTACCTCTAGCATGCCAAGCGACCGCCTTACCATCTGGTATTTTTTTTAATCCATTGAAATTTTAATAATATTTAATTAATAAATATTTTTCTTTTTAGAGCAAACGTCAAGATAAGAAAAGTTATCTAGAATATAAATTATAACCCTTTTTACATTTTTGAATCATCAAACCACAATAAAAATGGAAAAACCATGGAATTTACTAGAACTTTGATTTTGACCTCAAATAACTTTTGAACCAGTCAAGTTAGCAAAAAATGACAAGAAACCTTTTTTGTAGAGCATTAAATTTGTTACAAGAATATTTATCCTTCTATATAATCCGTTTATTAGTTTATGACTTAAAAAAATCCATAGTAATAACAGAACTTTTTCCATGTTATTTCCATTTAAAACTTTGGCTGTCGGGGGGGCCGGCTTAATTTTAAAATTAAGAGCTGCAATTTGGCACATTATTTTTTTTATATATTTGGAACCTATTTAGGACTATCGTGAAGAAAAATTCGAACACACCCTAAATAAGGACCACCCTAATATATATATATATATATATATATATATATATATATATATATAAATGTAATAAATAAATGTAGGTAGACTGTTTATTTGTTTATTACTAATAGCTTCAGAGTATGTCCAGAGGGTAAAAAATTTAAGGCAGTTATATATTATATATATATATATATATATACAGGGTCCTGCAACAGTGCGTCGGGCTTTCCTAGTGCCTTTACAGTGAGGGATAGAAAAAAAGTTTTTTACAAAAAATTATTGGTTTGAAAATCTTTATGCCGAGAAATTATTTTCAACAATCCAGGGTGTTCCATTTTTGCGGTATAACAAAAACATAAATTTTTTTAAATACACTGTATTTATTTAAGTTTTCCGATAACATCTTTCAACCTCTACATTGTTGTCCATTTACTTTTTGATTAAAATACAGTGTTTAACTCATTTTTTTCAAATGAAGTGCCCCATATAACCATCATTCGATAGGTCTTTTTCTCCTCTTTAATGTGATATGCCATATCTTATGTGTAAACCCCATAGTTGTTGAGATATTCAATATTTTTCACAAAAGTAATCATTTAATTAAATTTCTATGAAGTAGGCCGTGCTGAAGCAAAATGTAAGTAATTGTCAATGTAACATTTGATAAAATTTTCTTATGTTGAAACTCGAAATGTTAATTAGTATAGACCAGACTTTAGGCAAAATACCTTTCGTCAATTTTGATGGGACATTAAAAATTCTTGATGCAAAATAAGTTTTGGGGATTTTTAGTGAAGTTTAATCCAAAATCATTTTTGCCTTGTTTGCCTCTTTTATACGTTTAGTGCCTAAAATGCCTAAATGTCCGGTCTCTATTAATTAGTTTGTATTAAATATTAAAAACTGACCCTGTAAAAAAACTTAAAAAAAGCTAGAAAAATCGTTTCTGTTTTTGTATGGCAAAAGTGCTTCTCTGTTTTGTCGTAAAAGTAGGCCGCAACTTATGTTTTAACATGAATTTTGAAAGACAAACTAGTCGATATGATTTTTGTAATAGGAAAGACTGATGGAACTTGTTTATTGGCGGCTAGAATTTACCCGATGCGTTATTCAGAAAGAAGACGCCCGGATGAGAAAAGCTTCAGGAAACTACTCAATAGATTTATTGAAACGGGAAGTGTACATTATAAAAAACAAGAAAGAACAAAAACCTGTTATCAATGAGGAAAGTGAATTTTTAGTGCTATTAACAGCAACTGAGCATCCCAACATTAGCCAAAAAGACATCGGTGAAGCAACCGGCATAACCGAGAGATCAGTACAACGGATTCTAAAGAAAAATCGATATCATGCTTACCATTTTCAGTATGTTTTATTCACTGATGAAGCGTTATTTCCTAACAGCGGATCTGTAAACAGGCACAATTTTCATTATTATTCAACTGAAAATCCGCATGTTATGAAACAAGTTGATCATCAGCATCGATGGTCTTTGAATGACTGGGGAGGATATGTGGTATGTCCACATTTCTTCGATGGTCATCTCAATGGGCCTATGTATTTGAATTTTTTGGAAAATGTTTTACCTGGATTATTAGGTAATGTACCTCAACATATGTTATATATATATATAATATATATATATATATATATATATATATATATATATATATATATATATATATATATATATAAGAAACAGGATGTGGTTTCAACAAGACGGGGCACCTGCGCATTTTTCGAGAGACGTGAGGGCATATCTTGATGGCATTTTCCCCAACCAGTGGATTGGTAGAAATGGACCATCCAAATAGCCTGCTAGATATCCGGATCTGACAATACCTGATTTTTTCTTGAGGGGATATGTAAAGGGAATTGTTTTTAACGATCCACCTACCACACTTATGAATATATTCAACAACGGATTGTAAAGTATTTCACCTGAAATGTTTGGAAGAGTGCAAAGGTCTTTTCAGCAGCGAATTAATTTGTGCCTGAATGAAAATGGAAGACATTTTAAACAATTACTATAGTAACGTTTTTCCTATGTATTTTCACTTTTGTTACCTTTCATGGTTTTTGAATAAAATAATTAATCTTATTATTATTATTAGTATTAGTATTATTTGATTTTATTTATTAGATGTTATTTTGACTTTTACACATTTCTTATACATTTCGACAGTTGTTTTGCTCCAACACTTCCTACTTTATATCATAGAAATGTAATTAAATGATTACTTTTGCGAAAAATATTGAATTTCTTGGAAACTATGGGGTTTAGACATAAGATATGCCCCATCAAATTAAAGAAAAGAAAAAGACCTATCGAATGGTGACATAAAATAGGGGGCATTCCATTTGAAAAAAATAAGTTACACCACTTTGAAGGTTGAAAAGTTTTGTATTTTTTTCTGAACACCCTGTATTACTAAATTTAAATTGCTCATTATTAAAATGTTGCTTATTAACCGTACTAAGATTATTGCTAAAAGTTATTTTTAACTTCAAAAAACGAGGTTGATACGATTTTTTCAGCTTGCTTTTGCAAGATTTTTTGGAAAAAAAAATTGTAAGTTGACAACACTGTATTTTAATCAAAAAGTAAATGGACAACAATGTAGAGGTTGAAAGATGTTATCGGAAAACTTAAATAAATACAGTGTGTTCCATTTAAAAAAATGTATATTTCTGTTATACCTCAAAAATGGAACACCCTGTATTGTTGAAAATAATTTCTCAGCATAAAGATTTTTAAACCAATAATTTTTTTTTAAAACTTTTTTTCTATCCCTCACTGTAAAGGCACTAGGAAAGCCCGACACACTGTTGCAGGACCCTGTATGTATATATATTAGGGTGTCCCTTATTTTAATTTTTTTTACGCATACCCTCTAATTATATTTATTACGTGTTTATATACTCCCAGTAAAAATTTCAGCTCATTCTATAAACGGGAACCCGTGCCGACTTGCATCTGAACTCTCCGTTAGCACATGGGTGGTTATCTGAAATTTGGTTAACTTCTGACGTAATTTTGAAAGTGGTGTTTTTAGTTAAAAATCAGAACAGTTTATATTCTATGCTGTGGGTATAACATCTACTTTGCTGCATCTAAAAGGGCCAGTCACTTTACTTGCTATTTTTAGAGATATTTATGATTTTTTAAAATCAGTGTTCTAGGGACTGACGAGACGTGATAGGGACTGACGCCAAACACGGTTATTATGTCAAACATTTTTAGTGCAAAATCAACTGAAACAACAAATTATCTCTTAAGTTCACAAATTCTATGAACTATAATCACAGAATTTATATTATTTATTATGCACATTAAAATAATGTATCAATATTTCTAACAATCAAATTGTACTTTGAGTTTAATACTAATAGTCCTCAAGTAATTAACAATTATTTTATATAATCAGCCTTCTAAAGTTCTAAGTAACTAAATTATAATTTGAACACAATATTCAGACTTTCATTAATTATTATAAGATCACAAATATTTCAAACTTAAACTACCTAGTACCTCGTATTTATTTTTATCACTATTTATCACTTCTCGTAAACATTAACGGGTTTTTTAAATTTGTAAAATACAGTATTTCTCTTGACGATTAGATTTGGAACTGGCAGTTTTTCCATAACGTCTTCGTAAGGCACGTCGGCGATATCATCATTTATTTTAAATTCTGTGCCATCTTCATTGCAAACTTTAAGGAATGTAACTGTCAGCTCTCCATCTTCATCATCATATTTTGAGCAAATTGCGGCGTATCGGTATTCTTTTTCCCTCATTATTAACTTAACTAGAACATAATCTCCACTGCCATAGCTCGTTTTAGACTTTTCTTGCGCAATGTGCCTCATACTTGCTAACGGCATATCATCTTCAGAATCCGTGGAAATATCTGAAACTTGAAGCCGCTGTGTGTTCTTTTGGTACGTTATAGTCCCCAAGTTATAATGATTACAACCAACATTATCACAGAAGTAACTTAGTGACTTCAATACAAGTTTATTAGGGTTATAAATATGATCCGAGACTTGATGCACTAAGAGAGTTCCTTTAAACGGTTTCTGCTCTTTCTCATGTTTCTTGATCATTTTGTTAACTTTTTCTATGTCAACATCTTCGATAACAGAGATCTGTATATTTGGACACCCTTCTCGAAGCACAGCTACAAAGTCGTACAAGTTTGTAATGTCACCTCTCTGAGCTATGAGTTGATCTGCAGTACGTTTGCATGTAGCTCCGATTCCATCTGGTGCCCCTTTCCCATGTCCCGCCTCATGGAAATTCCACGTGTATTTCATAGCCAGTGGATATAAATCCTTGATTCTGCAACCCAAAATATAAAACATTGTTTTATTTCGATATTGGGTTACAGGACCGTCACTCAAAAAATGCAGGTTTTCTACAGAGGGTGGCAATCCTATGAGGACAGGCTGTAAATGTGCCCAAATGGCTCCAGCGTTGTGAGATAAATTTAACGACACAGTGCAATGAGATGTTACTTTATCCTTTGTGTAAACCACCACTGTATGCAAAGAAATTTGAGTCCTGGAGCCGCCAAAATGATACGACTGAATTTCTTGGTTGCATTTAGTTGTGTAGTTTTCCGAGAAGTCCATGTGAATTACTGCATCCTTTTCTGTAAGTGACTCTTTCAAAGATATAATAGTTTTATATTGATGGACGATGTTCTGTTCATGTTGGAATAATTTTGGAAGATCACTCTCTTCTAATTGCATAACTAAATCACGAGGTTTTAAGTTGTACATCTCTTTCTTGTACTTTGTGACGTATCGATCCTGTTTAGTTTTAATGTCCTTAATCAATTCCTTGCAATGCTTCCATTGTTTGACTGCAATGTCCATACTATTATCAAACTTCTTGTATGGTAAAATCTTCATCGAGCAGTCCTGGCAAGTTCTCGCTAAACAATTTTCCGAGTAACGATCACAGCAAATTGTTTCCAGTACAGTTTGATATGTTCCAAAGTCAAGAACATTTGCATTTTTTAAGGCACCTAATTTCAAATTGATGTTTTCATGAGTAACACAAGCACAGGTGTCACGGTCTGTAAGCTGATTCACAACAATTCAAAATGGACGCAATTTGCAGAACGAATTATACCCAATTTTCATCAAACTGGTATTGAGAAATTTTTGATGCAAGTTTTTCAAGGAATCCAGCAAATATCTTTTTTGTTTTTTTATTTTTTTGCGAGTGATGCATTCTTTTTTTCCTGCCGCACAACGACTATTATTGTCATCTTCATAAAACTTGTGTATGATTTCTTCAACTCTCTTTCTCTTTCGCTTAGCTTCATATTTTGTAAGATTAAATCCCATCTTTTTATATGTAATGGCTTTGTTTCCAAGTCTCCATATCTTATATTTATGTGTCAGTGGACTGGACAAAATATTTTTTAAGCAGGTTTGTTTTTGGTGTGTCTCAATCTTTTTATCTAATATTTGCTTCTGAATAATATCGCCAAATAAGGCTTTTTTTATCAATTCTACTTTTTGATTAGGGTCGTTGGCCATTTCTACAATTTTACTTTTTGGTGACAGTGCTTGCTTATTTTTTATCATTCTATGTTTCAGTCTTCTGTTTCTTTGTTGTTCGCTGGCAAGTTTTTTCTTTAAATTTTCAATGAGTAAGTCCTTCCTCTTCAGTATACTATTTCTTTTTTTCCGTTGAACTATACTTTTCCTTCTAGCTTCAGCTTCTCTTTCATTATTTAATAAAGGAACCTCAGGAATAATTTCATCTTCCGATGGCGTATTTTGGTCCACGTATTTATCTGTATTTTCACGAATCTTTTGTTTTTTTCTATAATCAGATGAATAGGCTACCCAGTTTTTTCTTGCCTTTCTATGCTCACGCGGAGTCATGTCTTTTACACATTTCCGTTGTCCTTTTTCCTTTTTCTTTAGATATTTTAGTCGTTCCTTTTCTTTGTACTCTGCCAGCAAAACAGGGTCATTTTTAATTTTTTCCAATCGCCTCTTTGCCTGTTCAGACTTTTTTTTTGCAATTTCCTCTTTAGACAATGTTTTTTTCTTTCTAGGCGCCATATTCTACAACAAATACATTGGTATTTTGTTTAAAAACATGCATCACACAGTATGACCATCAGTCCCTAGATGTGGCGTCAGGCCCTAGTCACTATTACGACTAGGGCCTGACGGTCCAGGGACTGACGAAACCAAACAAAATTAAATGAAACCTATTATTTAAAGTCAACATCAAAAGGCGGTCAAAATAACAAGGCAGACCAAACTCATATTTATAATAGGTAATGACATCAATTAGTAATTAACTATCTTTAAAACAACTTACCTAGGGCCTGAGAGTTTGACTGGCACAGCACGTGTTTCCGCAGCAAAGTCGGCGACCGCGCTAATAACAAAATGCCTGCCGCGGCTTGGGTCGTGCTTGCAACTAACTTCACACCGATGCTATCCTATTGAGTGAGTTATGAAAAAGCCATATGCTTGGATGCCGCGTATTTTTGAATTTCGTAAATGACTAGGGCCTGATATTTTTTATCGCTTACACTTTTTGACTTGAAATAATGTGATGAAACATATTTTTATTATAAATTAAATCGTAATGACAATGTTAGTAATGTAATAGTAAACGAATTTAAATAGAGTTTGATCAAATTATTCTTATATAATTATAATTACAGTGAAATGAATACTAAATTCGGGAGATCTTACATGGCTAGGGCCTGATATTTGGAGTAAGAAATGTCAATTTTTGGAAATAAAGAATATTATAATATAAATCAAAATGAGTGACCGAACTAAATGGACTTTATAACATCGCTTAGTAGTTTCAAATATTGGATAAAATTTTTATAATATTGTGAAAATTGATGCTAACACCAAGTTAACCAAATTTCAGATAACCACCGGTATTTGCACGATCTGGGCGGCCAAAATTATTTTTATGCTTAAATGGTATCTTAACAATGCCAAAAGATGAATTAACTTGTTTTTAACAAAAAAATACTAATTTACAATACTTACTTACTAAACGGCACAATGGAGTATTAAGAAAAATATGCTTAGTCAGATTCTTAGAATAATTGTAATTGTAATAAGTGTAATTATTACACTTTACATTTTCCTACACACACAACACAGTACAATTAACCCAACGTATATTACGTATATTATAATAAGCATTCAGCATTTTTTAATTAACTTAGTTAATTTCGTCATCGCTATCTGATGAATTATCGCTCGTGTATGGATCTTCAGATATGAAAATTGATATTGCTTCTGGCAAGAACGTGTTAGCTTTTCTTTTATATATTGTTCTCATGCTTCTCAACATAGGATCTGAACTAAGTAAAAGGCGATTAAATTTGTCCCTATTGCAGTTTTCTCGAAAAAATGTTCTTGCAAAGATTTGTCGATAACTCCTGAAATAGTTATTACGAGCTTCAGCTGCCTCCTCTGAAAGCTGTGCAATGGTGGAGTCATAGGATGCCATGGGTACAGGTTAACATATACGTTAACGTACCTTCACATGAGAATAGTTGATCCTTTAGACAGTTTAGTTTAGCATCAATATAAGAGACATCCGCGCTCTCCATGCCATCAAACAAGTGTTTTCGAGTTACTATCCTTACTTCCGAAACACCTGGTACACCAAAGACAAACATACACTTTGAAAAATGGCAAAAATAAAAAAAAATAATATTATTTATAATAAAAATAATATTATTTATTTTTTCGATTTTTTTGTCCAAAATCTTTGAAGTATCAAAAAAACAAGTTATCCGGAATTTTCCGGGCAATCTTTTGGTGTTATTTATTAAAAGAAAGGGTAAATATTACATAAAAATTAAAACCATAGCTTGATCTAGCTTGATATCATAACAAATACCTTCGTGAAAGAAAAAAAATCATTAAAACTAGACTAAGAAAAAGAGTTCACTTTCAATAATTAAAAATTTCTATTTAAATAAGTTATTTATATTTATTATATGATAATTTGTAAGGGTGGTGTATTAGGATCCATCAATTTTAAGTTGTTAGATTAACTTGCGGTGCAAATATTCACATAAAAAACAGGTTGTCTAATAGGCACGCTAAACATTGATATTTTCTCTAGGTTAGACATTTAAATTCAGACTAATCATACGTACGTGGGGTGCGCGGGAAAAGGGAGTAAGCAGTTGGATACGGTTCTCAGAAGTGTCGTCCAACGCAGGTTGTCTGTTTTAACGATGTCATTCAAACTTTGATAACAGGCATTTTGGCCGCCCAGATCTTAGAAATACCTGTATGTGCAACGTTAGGCGCGCGGTATTTTGTAACACGGTTGGTCGCGAGGTCTTCGATCGTAAGTCATTTTGTATTTGTTATTATGTGACCCTTATATTATAAATTATTGACAAATGTTCAAATATAATTTTATTTATGTGTATACTTTGATAAAAATGTATATTTTCACAGGGAGTGGCTAGTTACCCGGAAGGGTCTGGTGAATAGGCCGTAAACTCTGAAATTGGTAAACTTAATGGGTTTTAATCTAAATAACAAAAAGAGTCTACTAAATGACTACCGAAAACTTATTGAACTGTCAAGAAAAGAAATGCTTATAAAAAGCTGAAATTTCATATAACAGTATATTTCAGCAATACTAATTAGTATATTAATATATTTAAGGGATAAAATCAACTAAATTAGTGAAACAAATGATAGAAACAAAAGCAATAATATTAATTAGTAATCATATTTAATAAAATCATTAGAAAAATACAGTCATGAAGTATATCTTCTTTTTAAAGTGTTTCGTGTTACAAAATACCGCGCGCGCCTAACGTTGGCTAACGGAGGGTTTAGATGCAAGTCGGCACGGGTTCCCTTTTATAGAATGAGCTGAAATTTTTAATGGGAGTATATAAACAAGTAATAAATATAATTAGAGGGTATGCGTAAAAAAATAAAAATAAGGGACACCCTAATATATATATATATATATATATATATATATATATATATATATATATATTCCAAATAAGCTAATAGCTTGCCTAAGTATTAATATAAAAATATTTTAAATTACCTAAAAAGTGGGCGAAGTTCATACTCGCTACACTTAACCGTTTTATATTTATCATAATCAAATTTCTTTTTTTAAACGAGATATGGATGTAAATATTTCAAATTGAATAAATAAGAAAATTATAATTTTCTTCTTTATTCCATTTGAAATATTTACATCCATATGTCGTTAAAAAAAAACTTTCTCTTTAAATTACCAAATTTTATATTTTAATACAACCAATTTTGACTTATAAATTCAGAAAAAAATATTATGAAAGTTACGACGAACACCTGTACAAGAAATGTGCTGTGCTGTGCACCGATAAGAACCCTTTAGATTAAGTTAAGCTAGTTTCCATTCATTCTTTTCTTGCTTGTTATTTGTAACGTTTATTGTAAAACTTAAGTAAAATTAAATTGTGAAAAATAAATATTTAAAAAAAAACGGTTTTTGTGTTTGTAAAACGTAACTGGCGCCGTCGGTAGGATTCGTCAAAGCGTAAAAAGAAGAAAAATCGCGTGTTCTATTAAGGACTTTCGACGAATCCGTGAACTTTATAAAAAAAAACTTTGTGCGTTACAACAGTGACCCAGGAGTGCGAGCTTGTGGACGACACCCAATTTCGTCAAATTGGCTGGACATTGAACACTTGAGTTGAATCACCGAGCTTCTTTTTCAATAAATCGAAGTTGCGAGGTTTCGTAGACATCGAGGACAAAATCGCCAGAGATGCTTCAGAGCCTTATATTGTAAGTCGAAGATATATTTTTTATTATACGCCATTATAGGAGTCATATGTTTGCTCTAGAATTTGACTAATGGTTGTTATTTGTATTTT